TATGGGTGTAGTAATTCTGATAATACTGAAATATTATACTCTTTATTAACTTTTGACTTATTTTGACACAGTAAACTGGATGGAGGCGGTCAGCTTAGTAGCAAAAAAACCTCCATCAGTAAATGGGAATGTTTTTAGAGTTTGTTATTTAGTGCACAGACTAATTCCTATTCACTGAGTGCACATGTATGTTATGTATTTTGTGTTATGGAAACTGCTTTACAACATGTGATACATGGTGCAAACAATATGAGTTTCATAGCTTCTTTGATATGCTAGAGTGAGTGCTCTTAGCATTTTTGATGACTCACACTGTCACTTGTGAATTAATAAGTGATCTGAACTCTTCAGTGTAATGAACCCTATCATTTATTAAAAAGTCAAAGTGTTCCCATAATTAGCATGGTGATGTTTGACAGCAAAAGTGAATTTTTGAGGGTCTACTACTGTTAAATATTGTTGGTAAATACTATTCATTTTTATGCTGGGTAAAAGACTTTCTGGTAGCAGACTGGATAAAATGTAAAGAAGTGTTTGTTTTAAAAGTGTTCTTTAACAAATTTTGGCTAGTGTCTATACTATCCCTTTTAAATGGTGTGAAATATAGAAGTTGCTAAGAAAGAGCTCTGTCCAAGTTGTGACTCCAGATTTATAGTGAGGCTCAGTGTCAATAATACAAAGTGAACATTGATCTGTTTATACATCTGTACTTCTTGAGCCAGAGACCAAGTGGCTCTGTTACCCTGAAAGTCTTTCTAGAACTTCCTTTCACTTTGTTATGACTCGCACTGTGTATTGAGGAAGAGCACTAAGATGATGTGAGCTGGCCAATAATGATATAAAATTTTACCACTTCATGAAAGAACTTCAGAACTGCATAAGGAAAGGAACAAAAAGTGATTATATCCTGCACTTCTCTTGGATGCATGAATTAGAAGGAAGTATGCCATGACAACTTATTCTTCCCCCAAATCCAGAACATTAGCATGAGATTTTTGTGCTTCTTGGATGATTAAAAGAGTATAAGCATGATGGTATGAGAGAATTAGTGACAAAGTAAGGAACAAGGCTCGATTTTTTTTTTCCCTTAAAGCACAATAAAGTTATAGATTGAAAGGTGGGCTTTATGTTTTCCTTTAAAATGGCACTGTATTTTCTTTGTGTTCCACAGAATCTGTGGAACCTTGGGAAAAAAAAAAAAAAAGAGAGAGAAAAGAAAATTTGTTTTTGCTTTCACCTGTATAGAAAATTATATAGTTCAGAGGATGCTAGGCACCATTACTTACCTGTTTTCATTTCCTCCTCATAGTTGAACACATGAAAGGAAATGAAAAATCACTGTAAGAAAATGTAAATTCTAAAAAATGTTTAATTATGGGGGGCTGTATCTAGATAGCAGAGATTGTTAAGTGTTATCTGATAGTCATTGAGTTGTTTGGGGAAAAAAAGTTGGAAAACCATGGCTGACATTCCTACCGTTTTCCAAGGCTGATGTTTATTTCAATTTAGCTTTATTCCTAGAAATGAATATAAGCATAAGTCACTTCAAAAAGGTATAATTATGTTTTGAAGCTAGTTTAAAACCTCTTTTTAACACTTAATATAAACCTATGCATAGTCAGTCTTATATTTCAATTAAATTGAACTTTGAGGTTCAGCTTCAGTCTCCAAGACTTACCAAAATAATTTGCAGGCACAATTCATTGAGAGCTTGAGATAGAAATAGTCATATATGTAAATAGCTTTACAGATTGGTAAAACCTCAGTAATTTCTGTGGGAATGCGTATGCCTGTAATGTTATTCCTATGGATGATTGTAGTATTTGATTTCTGTAGTGTATGGAAATATACAGAAGTATGATTACTGAGTTTACATCTCTGAAATAATTTGTTGTTTGTATACATTTCATTTATAATAAGAAGACTCAGTTTAAAATACAGCCCTCAGAGAATTTATGTTGTTCAGAAATTAAACTTAGAAGATATGTGTGGTTTCTACACCGTGTCTCTTGTTATTAGAGTTGTGGATTGCTTTAATATAATACTGTGAAGGTGGAACGTGTTGTACTGATGAGTTGCCAAGTTATAGTCTTTTTTTTTTTTCCTGCTAGAAGCTAACGCCAATTTACTAGTTAAGCAGCTGATTACAAATGACATCCACTGTCAGTAAAATCTTCCCTTATTGTCTATAAAATAAGCCTGAAAATTATTTCTGTTTGCTCCAATGGTTGGATATAGCTCTAGAGTCTAGACACAAGTCATGAATAGCAAGGTAGAGTTTTATTTTGCCTATATCTATTGCTCTGTTGTGTTCAGTGATAAATGCTCTCAGTGATGGATTGGTTTGAACTTCATACCATTTAGATTTAGTATCACAATGTCTTATCTTAAATTTAGTCCCATCTATGGAAGCTTGAATGTCATTTTCAAAGGGAACAGAACAGAGCCTATATTTCAGCCATGTGGACCTTTCCTCTCCATTCTTATCACTAAGCAATCTTTCATGAGCAGAAGCAAAGAAACCAGTAGAGATTTAAATATTGCTGACTTGGGTATTGAATAAATAATTATAAAACTAATCATTTTGAGTGCTGGAAACCTAAAATAGCCTAAAGTTAATATATTTGGGAAAAAAAAACCCTTATTGATATCAGTTTCTTTCACTTAGAAAGAACAAGCTTATTCTAAATTCAGTTTTGTATAAGTGATTGGCTATGGAACTATTTTTATTGGATGAATGATAATAGTTGTTCAGGTCTTATGAACACGCACTAATTACCAAAATATCAGTGAGGTAAGAATGTATCTTTCCTTTTAACAACTGGGGAAAAAAAAAAAAAAAATTGCTAGTAGGCCTATATTATGGTTTGAACATTCAGAGTCTGAAGGTATTGTCCGTGCCATGGCACTCAGAAATGAAGGTGTAGGTTTGAATGTGCTCATGAGGTTTGACATCTTTCTGTCTCTGTGACAGCTGTGATGACTCAGAATATTAACCAGATCGCTTTTAAACACCCCTTTAGCTAAACAGCTGCAAACCAAATAGCTTTTCAGTTGTTTAGAATCTTCTTTTTGTCATTCTCTTCGATCTTCCTTTATGAAATTAAAAACGCGTAATTGTACTAAACCAGGCTATAATAAAACAGTGCATGCAAGTTTTAAACAATTGGTTTAGCACTGTAATTTTTAAGCAGTTAATGAAAGTCATTGTTTTAGATCTAGTCATGTAAGTGTAAAATTATGAATGTCTACCCTATTAATCAAGTTGCTTTTGAATTCTAAAGAGATTCTGAGGTGGGAGTTTACTCAGCGAGACATAATCATTTTCCCAGCTCAATACAGAGTAGTCTCATTATTCATGTTTTCTTTTGAATAAGAACTCACACTGTAATTCTAAGCACTTGTGATAATTACAAAGAATATTTTTTTTTTAATTTTTCTCTTTAAAATGCTTTTTTCCTCATTGGCATTATAACAGAAAATAGAATATTATGATCTGATTAAATTCTAGCTTGGGCATTTACATTTTGCCTGGAAAATTTTACCCATTTTCTTCCTTGACTGTGGTGTTGTGCAGCTGTGTCTTGTTAAACCACTGTTGTGTGTGCCTCGAGTTTTGTGCATTTCAGAGCTTTTGGAAGATGTTAGTTATGACTGTCCAACAAGGAATTTGTTTGCTCCACACATGATTTTATATATATTAAAAATGGGCTTAGTATATACTCATCTAGATAAAGCCTGAGGCAATCAATAATTGAGAACATGGAGAGATTAAAAGGCCATTATATATATATGCACACATAATAATTAGCAATGCAAGTATCATTATATCTTTACAGAGATGGTGAAAATGAGACCTTTCTAGCAGTTGGTATGAGATACCTCTTATGTAAATACATATTATGGCTGTGCTTATTGTGTTGTGGTAATGAGAGCCTTAAGCCCTCCAACCCATCTTCTCTGGTGTTTTGCTCTTCCTTCAGGCTGGCTCAACTCTGGAGCAATGCCAGCAGGCTTGTCTAGTGGGAAGCCAAACCCATGTGGAGCTGCTCTGAATTTAAGCTCCTCTTAGCTGAAGTGTTGTGATGAAGCCAAGGCTGAGTTTGTTTATGGCTTACAAAGACAGCATGTAGATATGGTCAATGGCTCCAGCTGCTATTCGGCTTCTTACTTGCTGTGTTACTGTAAGCCAGATAGATCTTTTTTTTTATTATTTTTTTTCCCAAAAAGTAGTCAGTTGTTTTGGTTTCCCCAACTTTCTGAAGTTCTACTTTCTGTAGTGTTTTGAAACGAGTGCCCTAAAAATTTGAATGTGACTGAACCCACAGTGGATGGAGATGCTTTGGGTTTCAAACCACAGACACCTTAACTCAGCTAGTGTCTTTTTATAGCTTCAAAGTTTTCTGAGTAACTGCAACCACCACATCACTTGTGAGGAGGGAGAAGGGTAGGTGCATATGATATGTATGACCAGGATTTCCTACTGGGACCTACTGAAGCCTATTGGTTCCCTTGCCCTCAGATAGTAATCTTAAATGTAGTGAACTTTCTTTTAGCAATGCCTCTTCTCCAAATAGGCAGTAGAGGTGTAGATATACCTGGATCTCTGTCCTTAAAATTCCAAATGTGTTTTCTCTTTCCATGGACTGCATGGGGAATCAATGGCTGTGTTAGCCAGGATGGATTTCTTACCTTTCTCTCTCCTACTCAGGCACTTTTTGTACTGAGTAAAAGGAACAACCCTAGTAGACTGGATTTCAGACTGTATCTCTGGTTGAGGGTAGTGTAATTAATCTGCTTTTCAATGTCCCTCTTCCCCTTCCCCGCCCCCCCCCCCCCCCCTCCTCTCTGCG